GGGGAAAAACAGCAATGAAGTTGTGAACTAAGTCCGACCACATTCAACAGACTCCTGTTAACCTGGATTGAGACCTGGTTAACCAGCAGTAGAGGACTAGAACGGAGTGTGAAGCATCCAGCTGATATAAAGGGAGGGGAGATGCACAAGAACACCCACACTTGCAGATAGTAGTACCCATTTGACCTGGCATCAATGGCTGGATGATCAGAACATGACTAGAGGAAGAAACGAGAGGAAATAAAAAAGAGTAACCCGCTATATATAAGTGGATGACCTTGACCTATGCTTGTGGATGCAGTATGACAAGGGACTGGACAAATCTCTACAGTGAGGAGCATTCCCACTCCCTTGGTACACAGGGTCGACAGGGAGGGGGAACTTAGTCATTGGCTACCCAAAATAGGGGGACTACAAAGGCAAGAAGTGACTGGCTTACAAACTTTCAACAGGGAACCCAGCTCCAGAGGATACAGGGAAAGGTAGAACCTCCACTGAATTGTTTCCAACCTGTGTGGATGGGGTTAATAAAAGGTGAGGGGGAAAGGACTCCTGTGGTTCAATAGGGAATGATTGCTATCAGATCTGACAGTGAGTGTTAGACAGGTAAATGTAAATGTTTGGTAACAAAAGGGGGGAAGTGGATGGACAGGAGAGGCTGGGGACTCTGGATTCAGGGAGGGAGAAGGGCTGTGTGCTGGCGGAGGGGGGGCGGAGAGGGCAGGCATGTGGGGTGTGCCTTTGGGTGTTTGATGATGCTGCAGGGGATTGTGATCATTGTAATGAAACAAAATACAATAGGATGAATGTAAAGATAATGTTCACCCATTTAAACTAACACATAATTCACAATAGAAACTTAAAAAAAAAAAATCCAGAAAACAAAACAAAACATTCCAAGGGATCTGAAAGAAGAGGAAAAGAAAAAAACAAAAAACAAAAACCTCAGACTAATGAATTCTCTGCAAATGTATTTCGGAATTTCCAATTATATGGGAGGACTTAGTTTAAGTTTCAGTGCCGAAGCATTATTTCATTCTACCAGTTTGAGAACAAGGTCTGTATGTTATTAATTCTTTTAGTGTTTGTTGAGACTTGTATTGTAACCTAGAAGTTGGTGGGCTTTAAGAAATGTACAATGTGAACCTGAAATGGATGTCAGTGAAATCAAGCCTGTCCCATTTTCCTATGTTCCTAATATTGTCTACTTGAGCCATGCATTCTTGTACTGGTAACCTTGTTAATTTTTCCTTTTAGATCCTTTAAAAAAAAATGGGTGAAGATTTACAGAGAAGATCATCAGCTTTACATTCAACGGATCATACACTTTGTTTCACCTCAGTGAATCCCCTCCATGTCCTTAGGAAAATGTTACACTTTTGATTTTGAATGATTGACCATTCCGTGGCCAGCAGACTTTAATGGTGTTGTTGACTCCACTACCTACCTACCTATCTGCTGCTTGGCTGAAAAGTGGGCCATGAGGACGAGTTCCCTTTCAGACCTGATGGGTGGTCAAGGGTCATAGTCTCAGTGTCCTCCAATCTCTGAGCAGTCAGCCTGGTCTTTAAAAATAATCTCTTTTAAAATTTGTGAGTTCTGGTCCACATTTTCGCCCACTTTGCTCTATCCAGGACCTTCTCAGGTGCTCTCTTTCAGAGCAGTTGGTAATGGTACCTGGACACCATCTAGTTCTTCTGGTCTCAGAGTCGTGGAGACTGATGTGCACAGATTCCATTAGTACATTTGGCTAATTGATTCCAATCATCTTCAGTTTTCATCACTCTTCTTTCGTCTTCTATACTTTTTTGGTTTTATCCACATTTGAGGCTTTCAATATGTCTCTTTCCATCTCTGTTAATTGGGGCTTGGAGGCAGACCAATTAACCAAAAAACAGACTTATTTCCAGGTATACATGTCTTAAGGAGTTCTGGTGTGGTGCTGTGGGATCAGCACTGGACCGTGAACCACAAGGCTAGTGGTTCAAACCCACCAGCAGCTCCCTGGAAATCCTCTAAAGGGTTGCTAACGGTTAGAACCCACTTCACGACACTTCACAAGAACATACATGTCTTGGGCATTGGTGGGTCAGTGGTACCGTTCTTGCTTTCCAGTGGGAGACCAGGCTCGGCCAAGGTACCCCGAGCACAAGCAGCACCCATCAGTCACGCTGTTCAGCTATGATGCTGAACAGATCTCAGTAGAGCTTCTGGACTAAAAGGTCCAGTGATCGATTCTCAACAATCAGCTCCTGGAAATCCTCTGGATCACAACAATTTGATCCTAACAAGCACTTAAGGTGCAGGGCCAGGGAGCATCCTGGAGGCTCTCACTCACTCGATTATCCTCCCAGACTCACTCCTCCTCCAGTGCTCCCTCAGCGAAGGGCACTGGGCCTACCCACCCACTCTCCCTTTCCTGCTCCCAGCACCTCCTTCCTGCTTCTGTCAACTTTCTTCTACTCTCTCACACCTGCCCTCTCCCATCACCACCGTCACTGCGAGCTGCTGTGGGCCGTGTCCTGGTGTGTGTGTGTGTGTGTAAGTCAGCATTTCAGCGCACAGTGCATCGGCACTTAGTCCAGCTGCCGTGTCATAGCCCCACGACCACGATCCATTCCCAATGTTCTCACACCCATGCAGAAAGCCAGTGCCCCTGGTGGCCACTCCAGACCCCGGGGCCCACTCCGAGACGCCACTTGCTCTACACTGACTTGTTGCTCCCTCTGCCCCCGCTGAGCCAGGGCATCTGTGCCCCCAGGGGCCAGCCTCTTCCACTCGGCAGCATGTCTCTGCTAACCCGCCCCCCCTGGCCCCGCCACGTGGTGGCCTGTCTCTCAGTACTGTGTGGGGACCATACAGTGTGGATCCCTCCTCTGTTGGTGAGCACTAGGGTGGTGGTCACCTGTGAGGGGCTGCTGCCTTGGGTGGGAGCTGCCACACTGCATAAGGGCTCTCCCCCCCTTCCTCCCCTCCACAGCCTGCATGAAGAATCCAGGAGAGTGTTGTCTTTCACCACACTGAACACTCCTCAGCCGCTGCCGTTGTCTTCCCCACACTTGGCACCCCTGAGCCTTTACCCTTTTCTAGATGCCTTCCCTAGCCACCTTTTCCTGATCTGCCCCTCCCCCTCTATCCCCACGTGCTGTCTAGGGTTCAAAGCAGTGCCTCCAGAGTCCCCCGCTGCCCTCCCGCCAACATCTCCTGGACAGAGGCAGAGAGGCCACCTGGTTTTCCGTGGCAGTTTTTTACTGAGGGACTAGGAGGCTCCCAGCCCAAGGGCTAAGAGGCCAGGAAAGGCACACAGTGAGTGTGGGGTCCTCCTCTTCCAGCGAAGGCCGGCTTGGCACAGACAGTGCCCCTGGCAGACCCCTCTTTGGCACTGAGCTGGGGACACTGGTGACCTCACTCCCGGAAGCCAGAGCCACAGCTGGCAGCTGGCAGTGTAGGCTGGCGGGGTAGTGGTGGCTAGGGGTGGCAGTTTGGCATTGGGTGGGTAACTGCCCAGCCCTGCCTCCCCAACGGGCAGGAGGCTCACATTGGCAATCAGGGCAGATACAAACAGGGAATCCAATAAATTAGGTCTTGGAACAAGAGAAGGCAGGGGAGCCAGCAGGCCAGAGCTCGGCTTGGTGGGATTTTCTTAGAAAGGTTCTGCGAGGCGGTGTGGGAGCTTGGGCTGGGCTGCAGCCTAGCTGTGGTCCCTGGTGGCTGTTCTTGTGGCTGGAGGGGCGACTGTCGTGCCAGAGCCACCGCTGACCACTCTGGGAGGCAGTGATAAAGGGATGGGGTAGAGGGTTTCGATTGACAAAGGGCTGGATGGAAGAGGGACTTGGCACTGCAGGGGGATCCCTGCTCACCCCTGCCTGTTCACCGGCACCCGAGAAAAGTAAAGGACTCCAATACGATAACAAGTCACAGTTACTGACACACGGCTCCCCCCATGGGGGTTTCAATGGCAGATTTGTTTTTGGAAGTAGATTGCCAAGTCTTTCTTCCAAGGCACCTCTGGGTGGACTTGAACATCCTACGTTTTGGGGAGCAGTTGAGCGTATTCAGCATTTGAACCCCCGGGGACCTGGGGAAGGGAGTGAAGAGGTGTACAGGGGTTGCTGTTTCCTTCATGGGAACCGAGGGCTCAGGGCACTCCTTCAGGTGGTGGCACCCTGGGGGAGGAGCCCAGAGTGTGTCGCTTCCCCCAGGATCTCGCAGAGCTCTCGTAGGCGCAGTTGCATCTTGGGGATGCCCGCCAGCTGCTGCTCCAGCCGCTGTTTCTCCTCAGTTAGGCTCAGGCGGGCCGCCGAGTCCAGCTTCTCGAACTTCCAACCGCCCTCACCATCGAACTGCAGCAGGTGAGTGTGGTACTTCCTGGCCAGGAGACAGGGGATAAAATCAGGCCTGGCCACTGTCAGCCGGGCTGGGCCTTAGGGAGGCAGGCACCTACCACAGGGAGGGGCGGTGGGTGATGGAGAGCAGAGCGATGCCCGCGTCCTTGGCAGCCTGGAAGATCTTGCCCTCTACATCGATGCTCACGGCACTGGTGCACTCATCCAGTAGGGCGTACTTGGGCCTGCAGGGCGCATGCCCCAAGTCAGCCTTCCTCCTCAAGGGGACTCTGGGGCCACACCCGTCCCCACTGACCCCGGCCACTGCTCGGCTGCCCCGCTCACCTGTGGTAGAACATGCGGGCCATGCCAATCCGCTGCTTCTCGCCCCCTGATAGCACGTCCTTCCAGTCACATATGGCCTCCCACCCTGGGGAGAGGACGGGGGTGTATGGAAGGTTCGGTCCCAGGAGTGGTCTACGGGAGGGGACCTGGGCTTCACTTGTTGAGTGGGCAGCTGAGTGACTGGGTGGGATGCTGTCTCCTTCCAGCAACTCCCCTCCCACGGGAAGAGAAGTTTGAGCAGTTTGCAGTGCAGTGAGATGTGTCCATGTCACAAATACTGGCCAATGGAGTCTAGAAGCTTTTAGAATCTTCCTTAAAGGATGGATGGGGTGTACCCCAGCTCCTTTCTGCCTCCTGAAACGGAGTCCTTGGAACCATCCTGATGGCACTTAACAACAACGCCTGGACTATGGGCCATGAGGTGACTCTGGGCCTCGGTCCAGACATCACAGGACACCCATCCCAGAACGATTGCAGCCACTGGGTCACAATGACCCCAAACCTAATAGGTCCCCGTGATTGGCCACAGGCCCTGGGCCTTCAGGGGTACCATCAACGAAGGAGAATGGGTGGCTTCCCTGGTGAAGATGTTGGCGGGGGAGAGCTGGGGATGAGGTTTCCACATGACCACGGCAGCCAGAGCAGAAATGGGGTCACCTCCTATGACGCAGGCCTAATACAGACGCTTCATGCAGCAAGTGGCTGGGGCCACGGCCTGGTACAGATACAGGGACAGCCCCGTGTGGGGCTCAAGGCCACTCTCAGACTCACCCCTGCCCACCCTGTCACTATGAGCCTACAGACTCCTGCCCTTGGGTCCCACCTCCCGGGCCAACCCCCAGGCTGGGCCACGCAGCGCTCCTCAGGGATGCCTCTTACAGCTTCGCTCCCTCCTCACCTTCCTGTAGCCCACATCCAGCCCACCTCACCGGGGTCACCTCTTCACTGCCAGCCCTGGCCCGGTGGGCAGCCCTTTTCACTCTTGGTCACTGGTGCCAAAAGGGACAGGCCAGGGTGTGTGTGGGTGGTCCCAGGTGCTGTCTGAGTCTTGGGACAGAGGACGAGTGATGGCCCACAGACCTCCTTCCCGCTGCAGGATGTGGTGCAGATGCACGATGTCCAGGATGGCTTCCAGGTGCTCTTCCGAGTAGCCCTTCCTCCGCATGTCCTCCACCGAATCCGGGTAGATCACCTGCTCTCGCAGCGAGCCCACCGACATGTAGGGCCTGCGGGGAACCTGAGTGAGACCCCTCAGAACCTAGCGGACACCTGCTGCATGTGTTTGCAGGGTGGACACACACGTGTGCACAAAGATGCACACACCACGCACACATGCATACATGCAACACGTGCACACCCACACAAAACTCACACGCACACACAGCACAAAAACCTATGCACACACCACACATGGGCACACACTCGCACAGGCACACACGTCTACCACATACAACTTGCATGCACACCCCATGCATGCATATTCACACACATCAAAACCCCCAGGGGGAAAGCGTGTTGAGGGAGGGAGGGGGCACCACAGCACAGCTGGACTCTGGTGTGGTCTGACGTCCTCTGGCGGGGGGGGGATGGACATCTGTTGTAGCCTCAGCCTCTACCAAGTGGAAGATGACCCGGGGCCGAAGCGCGTGCCCCCCACAGCCCCGCACTCCTCACCTCTGTGGAATGTAGAACATGCGCTGGGGTGGGGGCTTATAGAGCACCCCACCGTATGCTGGCCACAGCCCACCCAGAATTCGGAACAGGGAACTTTTGCCACAGCCATTGGGGCCGGTGATGAGCAGGTGCATGCCCTCCTCCACCTGCGGAGGCAGTAATCCTTGTCACCCTACCTGTCCCCCCCCCCCCAAAGAGCTGCTCCACCTAGGGGTGCTGTGGTAGGTAAGGGCTGCTGATCTGATCCGGGGCTCTCAGGCCGGGCTTTTGTGAACAGCCCCTGGTAATTGCCAGGCTGTGTTCTCTCTCTCACCTTGACCTTAGCCCACCTGCCGTGTAGCTCTGGGAGCAGTGGCTACTGAAGGCACAGGCAGGCCAGCCCACCTGCCCACCCCACGCAGCCCTTCTCAGGCAGCACCTGCCCTCCCCGCCCCCACCTACCCTGATGTTCAGGCTGGTCACCACCACCTCTCCTGTGGGCGTGATGATAGGGATATTTTCACAGACAATGCCTTGCTCCACATCCACCACTTGGCCTGGAGAAAGGGAGGGCCTCAGTCCCAGGGAGGAGGGTCCTGGCACTGAGTCTCATTTCCAGCTCTGCAGCCCCCCTCCCTATAGGAGACACTGAACTGTGGAGTCCCAGGTTCCTAATGCAGCTGGCTGGACAAGTTGGCTCACAGCCCCATGACCCTTGGGCTTTCGCAGACCATGCTGAGTGGTGGAGAGACTGCCTACATACAGCAGAGATCTGGGCACGTAGACTGAAGGTGCTAGATAGGCAGGCTGGTGGCAGCAGTCACTGAGAGAGATGGTCCTTTCACCCGACTCTCCACTGTGGCCCTCCCTTCCCCAACCCAGCCAAGATGGGGTGGGGGGGGGCTCCACTCCAAGTCTCCCACACGAGGCAGGGGCTGCTCGGGCTGGGGGTGGGGGCTCAGGAGGCAATCTGGGGTGGCGAACCCTCACCTCGGATCTTCAGGGATCCCTCCACACGAACACCAGGCCTCACCACAGCCCCAGTCCCCACTGGGGTACTCTCTAGCTCCCCAGGTCTCTTAAAACGATAGTGCTGCACATCATCGAAGACCTGGAACATCTCATGGACCCGGGCCGTGTAGCCAGCCAGCTCTGTCACCTGTGGGGAGGTCACTGTGGCTCAGTCCTAGCCAGGGAGGAGGAGATGGGCAGGGGCGCAGAGGGCTCAGACCAGGAATACCTCCTTGTATGATGACATGATGCGCTCAATAGCGTCTGCAGCGGCTGTGAGGAGGTTCCGGGCAATGGTGAAGGCTTCAGTGCGCTCACTCACCAGCTCCTCCTCTCTCTTCTCCAAGGCGGCCTTCTTGACTGCCTCTGGGTCTACCGAGGGCAGAGACAATGGAAATCCAAAATCAGCCACATCAGGGAAAGAAGGGTCTTCCCATCATGGCGCTGGCATGATGAATCCGAAGTGATTGGACGCACTAACAACAACCACCACCTGCTATGGTGCTGCAGGTTAATGCGCGGGGCTGCAAAGTTGGCTTGAACCGCAAGGTAGGTGGTTCAAGGTCACCAGCCGCTCCTCAGAAACCCTAGACAGCGTCATTGTGGATCAGAAACGACTCGACAGCACTTAACTACTTAATAAATACAAAACTGAACTCAAAATGGATCTTAGGCCTAATATACAAACTGAGTCTGTACAAGTCTTACAAGAAAGCATAGGAGTAAATCCTTATGATCTGGAATTGGACAACAGCTTCTTAGACTGGACACCTAATTTACAAGTAAGACCAAGTGGACTTTATACAAATTGAAAACTTTTCTTCCAAGGACACCATCGGTAAAGTAAAGACAGCTCACAGACTGGGCAAAAATATTTGCCAATCACCTAGCTAATGAGGATGTAGTATCCAGAAATTATGAAGAGCTCATACAACTCAACAATCAAGACGAATAACCCAGTTAAAATTGGGCGAAGGGTCAGAGCAGACAGCTCTCCAAAGAAGATCCAGTAAGAGATGTCTAAACTGAGTCATGACCCCCACAGGGCTGTCGCATCCATTGTGACTCACAGCCACCCTACAGGGCAGTGTACACCGGCGCCACAGGGTTCCCGCTTCCATGGGAGTCCTGGTGTGGTATTGTGGGAGGAACACTGGACTGTTAACCACAAGGTCAGTACTTCAAACTCAATAGCCGCTTCTTGGAAACCCTCCACAGGCCCGCGATGACGTCACTTAACAACATAGGGTCTCTGACTCATATCAACCCTGTATAGCATTGCCAAGGCTTTAAGTCTTCGCGGGAGCAGAAAGCCTCATCTTTCTCCATGGAGCAGCTGGTGGGATCGAACTGCCGACCTTATGGCTCACAGTTCAGTGCTTATCGTATGGAGCCACTGCGCTCCCAGGGCTCTCTGAGTCATGAAAACCACATGGATGGATCTCAATCACTGTAATGACAGTCTGTTCTGTAAGCCTTCACTCAACTCACAATAAAGAGTTAAACAAAACAAGAACACAATGAGATAGCACTTCATGCCCACTTAGTGTTGTTAAGCACCACTGAGTCAGTGCTGACTCATAGCGACCCTGTATAGACTTTCCAAGGAGCGGCTGGTGGGTTTGAACTTCCGACCTTGTGGTGAGCAGTCCAGTGCTGATCCTACAGTGCCACACCAGGACTCCCTCATGTCCACTAGGATGGCTCCGAACTTTTAAACCATCAATAAAGTCTTGGTGAAGATGTGGAGAAACTGGAACCCTCCTCCACTGCTGGTAGACATGACCTGGTGTGGAAAACATGGTAAATAAAGAATTACCACGTGACTCAGCAAGTCCAGTCCAGGACAGAAACCCTAAGGAACTGAAAACAGCTATGCGAACAAAGACTTGTACCTGGAAGTTCATTGAAGCATTAGCCACAATGGCCAAAGGGTGGGAGCAGCCCACCTGTCCATCAGCAGCTGCTGACTACACACAACATGGCACAGGCATACAATGGGGTCAGCCCGACACATGCCACAATGGGATGAACCTTGACAACCTTATGCTCAGTGACAGAAGCCAGCCACAAGAAGTCACAGAGATGGTGGTGATTACTCTGTGACTATCCTAGAGGCCATTTCAATGGAGAGAATGTATGGTATGTGAATTACAGCGTAGTAAAACTGGTTTAAAAAAAGAGACAGAGACCGAAGAATTCTGGGAAGATGGTAGCACAAACAATCGTTTGATCTCCACTCACAAATACAGGAAATACAAGGAAATAGTATGAGGCTTTCAGAGACTCTGAATCGGGGAGAAGAGGAAGGCAGTGGGGATCATCTAATGAACAGTGAATTACACATGGCAGGAAAATCACTAACCCACCATCCCTGTTCCTCCCCAGCCACATGGACCACCGGCTGCTGAGAAATGGGATGTTGTTGTTGTTAAATGCTGTTGAGTAGGTTCTGACCCATAGCAACCCTGTATAAGGTTTCCAAGGAGCAGCTGGTGAGCTTGAACCACCAACCTTGTGGTTCAAGCTGTGGAACGAGAGATATCATTGTTGATGTGCGATGGATCTTGGCTGAAAGCAGAGAATATCAGAAAGATGTTTACCTGTGCTTTATTGACTATGCAAAGGCTTTCGATTGTGTGGATCACGACAAGCTATGTACAATATTGAGAAGTATGAGTATTCCGGAACACTTAACTGTGCTCATGAGGAATCTGTACCTGGACCAAGAAGCAGTTGTTCGAACAGAACATGGGAACACTGAATGTTTTAAAATTGGGAAAGGTGTGAGACAGGGTTGTATTCTTTCACCATACTTGTTCAATCTGTATGTTGAGCAAATAATACGAGAAGCTGGATTCTATGAAGAAAAACGTGGCGTCAGGATTGGAGGAAGACTCATTAATAACCTGCGATATGCAGATGATACAACCTTGCTTGCTGAAAGTGAAGAGGACTTAAAACATTTACTGATGAAGATCAAAGAGCACAGCCTTCGATATGGATTACATCTCAATGTCAAGAAAGCAAAAATCCTCACCACTGGACCAATAAACAACATTCTTATCAATGGAGAAAAGACTGAAGTTGTCAAGGAGTTCTTCTTCCCTGGATCAAACATCAACACTCATGGAAGCAGCAGACTTTGCAGTCCACAGCATTAGCCCACAGTGTGGGATTGTTGTTGTTGTTATGTGCCGTGAGTCGGTGCCGACTCCTAGCCACCCTGTACCGGGTTTCCGAGGCCGTAAACCTTTACAGGAGCAGAACGCCTTATCTTTCGGCGAACATAGGTCACACCCCTACCTCATGAGCTCCTTGGCTTGCAGGATTCCTCAGAGTTTTCACCTTTCCAGGTCCAACAGCTGCGGTTTTGTTTTGTTTTGTTTTTTTCTTTCTGTTGTTTCATTGCTTTTATTTCTTCTTTTTTTAAAAAAAAAACAAAAAACTCACCTTTTCTTGTGAATTGAGTGACGGTTTACAGAGCAGATCATCAGCTTCACCTTCAACAAATCCTAGTCTTTGCTTCATTATAATCCACTCACGTCCCAGCAGTTAACATCATTTACCTCTTCACTTTAATGCTTGCATTCCTCTCTCTGTCTCCTGCTACCTTCATCTTTCCTCTGCTAACCTCCCTCTTATTGTATATTGCCTGCCCCGTCACCCATGTTAACATGTGTCTACCTTCTAGCCTGGAGTCCTGGTGTGGCGCTGTGGGTTGATGAGCCAGACTGCAAAGCCATTTGAACTGGAAGGTCGGCAGTTCAAGCTCACCAGCTGTTCCTTGGATGACCAGACTTTGTCTCGCATGCTTCGGCTATATTATCCGGAGGGAGCAGACCCCAGAGAAAGGACATAATGCTTGATGAAGTAGAGGATTGGTTTGTTCTTTTGGTGGTCCATAGTGCTTTTAATATTCTCCATCACCATAACTCAAAAGCATCAATTCTTCTATAATCTTCCTTATTCACTGCCCAACTTTCACATGCATATGAGGTTACTGACAATATCATGGGCTTGGGTCAGGCGCACCTTAATCCTCAGATGGGCATCTTTGCACTTGGACACTTTAAAGATGTCTTATGCAGTAGATTTACCCAATGCAATGAATCATTTGATTTCTTGACTGCTGCTTCCATGAGTGTTGATGGTTGATCTGAGCAAAATGAAGCCACTGACAACTTCATTCTTTTCTCCATTTATCTTGATGTTATTTATTAGACCAGTAGTGAGGATTTTTGTCTTGTTTACATTGAGGTGCAACCCATACCGAATGCTGCGGTCTTTGATCTTCATCAGTAACTGTTTTAATTGCATTGAATGATGCAGAAAGCATAAAAAGAAGACAGAAGTAACACACAGAGTCTGTTGTGTTAGTGTTTACTGTTTCAGATTTTCCTTTTATTATTTTTGATGTGTAGGTATATTGATTTTTGTTGAGGTTGCCTTATAATTTATTAATTTTTTTCCCCACACTAAAACAGTCTGTTTTAGAAATCTACCTGACTTCCTTGCCATTTGGAAGTTCAGTATCTACACTAGTCCTTTTTTTTTTTTCTTCCATGTTTTATGTGAATTATATAATATTTTACATGAGAGAACTTTAGTTTTACATTCATTCCATCGTATATCGTCTCATTGCCATGGTTCCAATCCCCTCCATGCATCATCAACC